TCCGCTGCCCCGACTGTGGGAAGGGATTCAGGCACAAGTCCCATCTTGTCATGCACCAACAAATCCATACTGGGGAGAGGCCCCATAAGTGTGAGGAATGTGGGAAGAGCTTCAGCCGGAGCTCCAGCGTGATCCGGCACCAGGTAATCCACACTGGGGAGAGGCCCTATGAGTGTGGGCAATGTGTGAAGCGCTTCAGCTTGAGATCCCAGCTGATGAGGCACCAGGTGGTTCACACTGGGGAGAGGCCCTATGAGTGTGAGGAATCTGGGAAGAGCTTCAGCTGGCGCTCCACCCTGATCAGGCACCAGAGGACCCACACTGGGGAAAGGCCCTACGAGTGTGAGGAGTGTGAGAAGAGCTTTAGCTTGAGGTCCGAGCTGATCCGGCATCAGAGGACTCACACTGGGGAACGGCCCTATGAGTGTGATCAATGCAGGAAGAGATTTAAGTCCAGCTCTGATCTCCTCCAGCACCAGCGCACGCACACAGAGGAGAGGCCCTTCCGCTGCCCCGACTGCGGGCAGGGCTTCAGGCACAACTCCCATCTTGTCATGCACCGACAAATCCATACTGGGGAGAGGCCCCACGAGTGTGAGGAATGTGGGAAGAGCTTCAGTCGGAGCTCAACCCTGATCAGGCACCAGAGGACCCACACTGGGGAACGGCCCTACGAGTGTGGGGAGTGTGGGAAGAGGTTCAGACAGAGCGCCAACCTGATTCAGCACCGGAACATCCACACTGGAAAACGGTCACACAGGTGTGGGAAATGTGGGAAGGGCTTCAGGCAGCATTCCTACTTGATCCGCCACCAAAAGATCCACACTGGGGAGAGGCCCTACGAGTGTGATAAATGCAGGAAGAGGTTTAAGACCAGCTCCTGTCTCCTCCGGCACTATCGCATTCACAGAGAGGAGAGGCCCTTCCAATGCCCCGACTGTGGGAAGGGATTCAAGCACAACTGCACCCTCGTCACCCACCAACGCATTCACACTGGGGAGAGGCCCTACGAGTGTGAGGAGTGTGGGAAGAGCTTCTCACAGCGCTCTCACTTGAACAAGCACCAGCGGAGCCACCAGTAAGGGAGGCCCTGCGAGTGCCCCGAGTGCGGGAGGAGGAGCTTCGTGTGCTGCTCCAGCTCCATCCCCCACTGGAGGAGGCACTTTGGGCACAGCCCTGGTCACTCATCTATGGCTTCTCCTTTCCGTTTGTCCTGAATTTTCTTCTGCTTCATCTTCATCTCTTAAGAGCAGCCAAACAGTGTTAAATGAATGAAATTGATCAAAGATGTCCAAAGTCCCTCCATTAATCAGGAGTTTGAGGGGGAATTTAGGACTTGGGGACACATTCTGTGTGGAGTGCCTCTGTGTCTAAGAGGCAGGAATTTGATTTCACCCTTCTTGTGTTGCTAAGAACTCTTCCCTTGACCCAAACCCCAACTCCAGCCCTGGGATACCCTATAAAAACCCCATGGCTCTGCCTTTGCCCTGTCTGTCGGGGGTCAGAAATGGATTCTGGAGCTTTCTCAAACCAAGACCCAACTTGTTTGTTCCTGACATCAGCAGCTGCAGCCTCCCTGGATACCATGAACTCTGGAGAATGGGGGCAGCCAGTGAGGACAGGTCCTGGATTGCAAGATAAGTGTGTGTTCTGTTTGCCATCTGTCAGAGGTGGGGCAGTTATCTTCTGTTCATTAGGCAGTTTATCTCTTCCACAACCAATCCTCCCTCCAGGAGATATCTTCTGATAATGGACTGGCCATTAATTATTAATTATCTGCTGTTAATGGGCCATTGAGTGTCCCTGCATGGCTGATAAAATGACATCCTGCCATTAGGTGATGCTCCGCCCAGGAGGAGGAGCCAAGCATTCCTACCTGGATAGAATCTGAGGTTTGGAATTCCACAGCAGCCTTTTCCCACTGGATTCCCAGAGGATCAGCCTTTTCCCACTGCATTCCCAGAGGAGCAGCTGTCTTCTCCACTGGATTCCCAGAGGACGGAAGATTCCCCGGCCCATCTGCAGCAGCCCGGACCTTCAGAGGAAAACTGCACCCTTCTCCAGGATCCCTGCCCCAACAGAACCACACCTGGCACTGCAGGAGGGCTGCAGCCACCATTCACTGGGACTGCTGCCAACAGCCTGACCCACAGGGTGTCAGGTAGTGTTCTGACTCTGTCAGTGGTTTTGTTTGTTTGTACTACAGCATTTGTATTTTTAATTTTTCCTTATAAAACCTGTTATTCCTATTCCCATATCTTTGCTTGAGAGCCCCTTAATTTCAAAATTACAGCAATTCAGAGGGAGGGAGTTTACATTTTCCATTCCAGGGGAGGAACCTGCCTTCCTTAGCTGACACCTGTCTTTTCAAACCAAGACAATAACAGTTACTTTAACACACAGATATAAAATACATTTTAATATCTTTGAAAAGTCAATATTATAATATATGTGTATAACGATAGTGACCTTAAAAACATGGGGGTAGAAAGCTTACGAGGAGGGGAATTTCCAGTAAGGGAAGCAAAATTCCCAGTACTGGGACTGGGCCATGGGACCGACATCTACCATCATTCAGCGAGAGGTTTATTTTTATGGATACGTATTATAATATTGGCTTTTCACAGATATTAAAATAGATTTTATATGTGTGATGTTAAAGTAACTGTGTTGTAAAGATATAGTTTTGTTTTCTGTCATTAATTAAGCTTAGTGAAATAGCTGCTTGTGTTAAACTGCCTACTTGGATGGGATAACATCCAATGCACACAGGATGAGGACACCTGTACAGATCTGCCAACTATCAGCACTCCCCGTCTCAAGGCAGAATGGACCAAGGCCCAAAAACTGGAGGTGATAAGAATGGACTAAAACCACAACCAAGGAATCTGCATGCCCTAAAAAGGCAGATCCAAGGAAGAGCCGTGCTAAACCGTTCTTGAAGCATGTAAACTAGTTTGGGGGTAAAGTTTGCTGTGCATGAGGGTCTATGAATATGCAACAGGCTGATGTAAGGGGAAAGGTATTTCAGGGGGATCCCCAGTGCCAAGATGCACCCGGCCGTGATAACCTTTGCTCCATGGTCCTGGTCTCCCATTGTCCTTTATTAAACTTTTTACATTTTCACAAGAGAGTGAACGTGTTTTTCACATTTAGGAACGGTTTAAGTTTTTTTGTTTTTCATGGGAGGGAGTTTTGAAGAGCTACAAGTGGCTAATCTGCCTGCAACAAGGACCATTCCACGGGCTCTTGTCACCTTTCCTGACACGTCTGCTGCAGCTCATGGAGGGTAAAGCCCTGGAGGCTCCTTAGGGGCGGTTATGGATGATTGCAGGCAGTGCCTTGATGCCCTGGATCAGCAGTGCCCCCTCCTGGGAACCCCCACATTTTGGGAGAGAATTTGGAGGGTTTTGAGGAGATTTGAGGGAGATTTTGTCTGGGTTTGAATCCTACGCCAAATTTGGTGTCCGGGAGGTACCAAAACCACCCAAAATCCACCCAGAATTGACCCAAAATTACCAAAAATTAACCCAAAATTTCCTCCAAATCCATCCTCTGGGGGTTTGGGGGAGATTTGGAGGGATTTTAGGGGAATTTTAGGGGAGAATTTTTAGTGGTTTTGAATCCTATGCCCATTTCGGCATGCATGTGGTACCCAACCCCCCCCCCCAAAATCCACCCAAAATTTTTCCTGAGGTGGTTGGGAGGAAGTTTGAGGGAGTTTGAGTGAATTTGGGGGTTCCAGGGGAGATTTTATGGGGGTTTTTGGCAGTCATCATCATCCAAAACACAACACCCCATGCCAAAGCCTAGACCAAACCCTAAGGACTGTGCCCCCCATGGAGAGGAGATCAAAGAACTGCACCCCTTCTGGGGAGGAGATCAAAAGCCAGAGGAGACTGAGCTATTAACTCATTAAGTAAAAACGTATTCATTTAATCAAGTATCATCATTTCTGTTACTTTATCCTTTGTGATTAAGTCTCGAATGCTTTTCTATTCCTTGTTAATTTAGCTGAATAATATTCATTTTGGTTTTGTAAACTATTAAGTCATATTCCTGATCTTATATATGTGGTCCCATATGTCTAATAAACCACAAACTTACAATTTAGCAGCAGTTTTAATTGAGATAAAATGATACGATCAAATAGCATCCAGTAGTTACAAAAAGAAATTTGGCAGTGGTTTGGATAAAGCATAAGCAAAACCCATCGATCAGGGTATGGGGAGGGCTTCCCACCCTGCCTCACGTGCAAAAGGCAAAAGGATCCCAACACAACTTATATACTGTGTGCTAATACATATTCATCAATATTTTCCTGTAAATCTCCTCCTATTTCCGATTCTTGAAATCTACATCACCACAGCACACACAGCGCATGCTTCTGCTGTGGCTAAGGGGGCTTATGGCTCTTTGGTGCTCTTCTTGGAGGAAGGCCAGCAGTCTTCCTCGCTGTCCTCTGAATAACCTGGCAGGTTGTGCACGTGCCCCAAGTCCTGTGTTATGTAAGTAAGCACTGTGTTCCAAGTAAGCCTTATTATTTTATAGATAAGAGCACTATTTTAGACTCCCTGTCTGGAATTGTCCCAACTTTATTCATGTCACAGCCGATCCTGTCCTGGGAGTTGTCTTAACTTTGTCTTGATGCCAATTCTGACTTGGGAGTCTTCCTAACTTTTGTTCATCAAGGCCAATTCCAATCTCCTGTATACTTTTTCCCACATGTATCATCTACAAAGAAGCCCATTTGCTTCATATTAATCACATTTACATTTCCAATTATTTTCCAAAAATATTGATATAATTACAATTTTCTTAGCATGAACGACATTCATTTATCACAGAAGGCCAAAAGCTTGGAAAAGGATGAAAGAAACGCTCCGATGATGACAATGACAAAACAACCCAATTTATTTTTGACAGCAAATGAACGCCGGCCGCCCTCCAGCCCTCCCAGCCTGGCAGGCCAAGTGGGGCCATTCCCATGGCATGAGGCGCTAGCAGCCTGCGGAGAGAAACCAGAGAGCCACGGTCAGTCGCAGCAGGCTCCTGTCCCCCTGTCCTGCCATGGCTGTGCCCAGGCCAGGCTGCTGGCTGTGCTCAGAGCCCAAACCTCCCGAACCATTCTCTGTTTTTAGAGAAGGGCAGCGGGGCAGGCCATATTCCACCTCCTCTGCTTAATCACGGCACAGCAACCTCCTCAGCAGCTGCAGGAGCGGCATGCCCGCGTGCCCGCTGCCGCCTGCCCAGAGCCCTTCTGCCAGCCGAGCTGTGGATCCGGATGCCCACCTCTGGAGAGCTGCTGCCAGGAGAGGAGCCGATCCCGCACCAGGTCCTCGTCCTTCTGGAAGGGGCTGTCCCTGCAGACCGTGGCCCCTGGGGTAGCACTGGCACTGGACGTGCTCCACGGATGCTGCAGGCGCTTCCCCGTCGGGTCCGGGCACCAGGTGTAATCCTCCTGGGAAAAACAAAGAACAATTGCATGAATGCCAATTCAAAACAAGACCTGGAAAAAAGAAAAAGCACAAAGCCTGCCACTGTTTCATGGGCCTGTGGAGAGTCTGACCACTCCATGGGAGAATTAAACCTGTCCACGGGTGGGGAAAATCCTCACCTTTCCTGCCCATAAACGCAGCCCTTCCTCAAGGGCCTGCAGAGCAGGCCAGCTGGGGCACAGCTTTGGAACCCGTCCCCCTCTGCCGCCCCCCATCCACATGGATGGATGCTTTTGTCAGGCTGGCTGCCCCCACCTCAGCCCGTGCCAGGCTGGCTGGCAGAAGCTGTCAGCAAGGCCAGGAGCCAGCTCCCCTTCCACAAAAAGCAGCTCGGCGGCCGGCGGAACAATTAATATTCCCCAGCGCTGCCGAGCGGGGAACCTCCAGCACGTGGCCAGGCCGAGCCCTGCCATGCCTGGAAGCACCAGCATCCCCCCACCCCTGCGCCGGCTGGGGACTCATCTTAATTCCATCGGGGTGCAGAGCGTGTCCTCCAGGCAGGGGCCACAGCCAAAGCCAATCAGCCCTGCCCTGCCAGCGGCCAGCTCCAGGATGGTGTTCCCAGCTCCACGTTGTGCTCCAGAAGAACACGCCAGCTGTGCCTCGGCTTGCGGGGACATCACGATGCCATTGAGCTGCAGGGGGATGTTTCCCCTGTCCCAGTCCGTGGCACCTTCACCGCACTGCCACCACTTCTCCAGTGGGATGGGCAGCATGGATCCGCTCCCTCCACAGCTCACGGGGACCAGCGGAAGCATCTGCTTGGCTGCGCTCTCTCCTCAGCGCTGCGGCCACAGGGAAATGCTCTGCGGTTTTCTTCCAGCGCCACGAGACGCGTGCCGCTGCTACATGCTGGCTCCTGGATCCTACTGTGCACAGAGATGCATCTCTGCTGTCTCCTGGGCCAGGCAGGGCTCCTGCAGCCAAGAATGCTCAAAAAGGTCCTGCAGTGATGGCCTGTCTGTGGGGTCCATGCATAAACATCACCTGATGAGGTGCTGGCACTCTGCGGAGAGAAACCAGAAACCGCCGCTCAGCGGGACAAGGCTCCTGTCCATGCTCTCCCACATTCCACAATGCCCAGGCCACCAGGAGTGCTCAGAGCTACAGCCAAAAGCTTCCTATTGATCCTCTCTTGCAGAGGACACCAGCACAGAGGCGCAGGTGCCACCTCCTCCAGCTGAGCCCAGGAGATCCACCTCCTCACCAGCTGCAAGAGTAGGATGCTTATGTGCCAGCTGCCTCTCACAACCCCGTTCTTCCCCTCATGCCTTGAAGGTGCATCCCCACCTTGAGACACCCGTGGTGGGAAGAAGAGCTGGACCCTGATGATGTCCTCATTGGTGTGGAATGGAAGGTGCCTGCAGACCAGCTCATAGAGCAGGATGCCCAGGGACCAGATGGTGGCTGGCTGGCCATGGTAGCAGCCAAAGAGGATCCACTCTGGTGGGCTGTACTCAGGTGTTCCTATGGGACATGGGTGCAGCTCATCAGGCCCATGCTGCTCCCTCCCCCCCAGCCAGCTCCCGTTCCACAACAGCCAGCCACTGCCCTGCCAAAAAGCAACTTGGCTACAGCTGGCTGAAGAAGGATTCCCCCTCCTTCCCTCCCTCCTTCCTTCCCTCCCTCTTCCCCCTCTGCCAGCCAAGGGGGGAACTTTGCTGCCCTGCTGGGCCCCGGCTTTGGGCTCACCTGACATCTGGGTGTAGAACGTGTCCTGGAGGATCGTGCTGCAGCCAAAGTCGATGAGCTTTGCCTCACCTGTGGCCAGGTGGACGAGGGCGTTCTCGGCCTTGATGTGGCGGAGCAGGACACCGTGGCTGCTGCGGCACCGCACGGCCTCCAGCACCTGGCGGAGCAGCCCCCGCGCCACGGGCTCCGTCAGGAACCGCTGCTCGTGCAGGAAGTACCAGAGGTGCTGACAGCGCTGCGGATGCTCCATGAGCAGCGCAAAGCCCTCGGGCACCTCGAACCAGTCCAGGAGCCGCACGACGCCGCTGAAGCCAGGCCACGACACCTTCCACAGCAGCGCCGGCTCCAGGAGCACAAGGGCGCCCTTGCGCTGCGGGGGGACCGCAATGCCGTCAGCGGGGCCAATGCTGTGCTGCGCCTCGGGCAGCCCCTGCCCAGCCCCGCCGCGGCTCGCCATGACCTGACCCGGGGCGCTGCGCGGCCCCCGCTCACTCCACGCTTCGCTTGCTGCCCTCGCTGCCGCCCTGCCGGGCCTTGCCCGGCACGCCCCGCCGGCTCCTCCCGCTGGCCCCGCTCACTCCCCAGCCGCGCCCACTCCGAGATGCGCTCCTGGGACACTCGCTTGATGGCCACCTGCGAGCCAAGGCCAGCGGTGGACTTAAGATCACGCTTGGTTAAGAGTGTATAAGCCGGAGAACACGCAAATAAAAAAGACTTCTTTCTTCTCGTACCCTGATCACGTGTGTATTTCACGTCTGGCCTCATGGCGACAGTTGCCCCATCTCTGGGTCAAGAAACAAGTATTGTCTGACAGGTAACTTGTCAACAAACTGAGAAAGAAATTAGTACCTGGGCATGCAGATTTCTGAAGGGAGGAAAGAAAAGTGTTGACAACAATAAGCCTGAGTTTTAAATGCCTGAAACATTCAAAAATGACATGTTTTGGGATATTGTACCAGATGTTAGAAACAGTTCAAAGAAACCACAACGCATTAGTATCTGGACTTCAGTGCCAACTATGCTTTGAAATGTTGGTAAAGGCACTTTGTGTCAAAGATCCAGTTCCTGTTGGTCACTGTGGATGTAGATCAAAATCATACCAAAAAATCCATGTCCAAACCAGCAAGAATGAGACTTTTGTCCTTGGCAGTAGTTTCCAGGTGCTCCTGGAAATCACTAGGCCTAGACACAAAGATGTGTATTCAACGGAGGGAGACAAGCACCGTGCTTAGCTCTAACTGTGACCTTTGCTAGCAGATCTTACTAGCAGGTAATAAATTCCATTTGTTCTGCTCTTAGCCAGAGCCAAGATGGGAATCACAGTTTAGATCACAGGAGAAGATCACAGGAGCCTCAGTTTTTCCAGAAGAGGAGAAATACAAAGGATAGTAAATTTGGGTTGGGTTTTCAGGGTGTTTTTACAAATCCATAGACAAGTGATGAAGCTTAAAAGATGACAGCAAAGGAAAATCAACAGATATGCTGAAAGTGAGTGAAGAGGAAGGAGACTTTAAATTCACTGAAAAGCTGCACAGAAAGCTTCTCTACTTTTTGCAGTTGCTTCAAGTTTGAAATGACAAAGTCTTGTAGCACTTCCAACTTATCTTTATTAATTCTAGATTAAAGACAATCAAAACTGTGTGCTCCTGCTTACAGTATGAAGGAAAGCACAGGAAGCCATTAGAGTAAGAACAATTGTGTTTAGAAGGCTGAGGCAGCCTTAGGGGTAGGAGGAATGGGGAGGCGTGGAAATCAGGCCTGTGGGCACCATTCGAGGAGCATCCAGGCCCTGAGCAGTCCCTCACAGTGGGTATCCCAGCAGATGGAGTCCAAATGCAGCCGCAGCTGGGTGGGAAAAGTGCCGGGCTGTTGAGCCGTGGTTAGCAGGGGCTCCTGCATCAAATTGCTCCCTGACAGGTGTGGTATGCTGTGTGTGTGTGTGCCCAACAGCTGGCAACAGCAGGCTGGCCCAGATGTGGGAAAAGGCCAAGGAGGCAGCAGAGTGGGAATGGGGCTCTGCAGGAGGCCCGGGTGGTTGCATACACCCGTGGGGGATGAAGCTGGCCCAGATGAGCCCTGGGGCTCTGGGCTGAAAAGGGGGGAAAAGAGAAGCAGGGAGGAAGGGCCAGATGCTGCTATGACAATGCCATTCTATCCCATAGGTGACATAGTGAGAGGAGGGTGGGAACCAAATGGTGATTGCTGCTGATGACTGTGACATCTCCAAGACAAGAGGCCCAGAAAGGACTGCACATCTGCCTCCTAGTGTTGTCCTGAATGTGAGCTCATCTCCTGGTGTTCATTACCCGCAAGTCTCTCAGCTTCCCACGGGCATTCCACACTTCAGGTAAGCAAAGCTGCTTACCTCACTATGTTCTTTAGGCCTCTGAAAGGGACTGTCCCCTTAGCTACAGCCTGGCAAGGAAGGGAGTCTTACAACACTCTGGATATTTTAGACTTTTATTGGCACTCAGGCTGAAACAAAGCATCCCCTCACTACTTCTGCATCTTCATCCTTCTGTCCTGCAGGTGGCCTGTTCAGGCTGACAGATTGGAGCACCTGCAAGCTCCAGTTGGGCTGCAGCCCAGCTTTTCCTCTCACAGCTTAATTCTTATTATGACAATTCTTTCATTTCTACTTATAAGATACCTCAGAGCTTCCCTAAATTAACAACACTCTACTCTAAGCTAAACAATCCTCTATTATCTAAGCTATCTATGTTCCAAATGTTGGGATTCATAAAATTTGAGGGTTTTGAGAAAGTGGTAAAAAAGACAGGCCTCAGACAGCAGATTTGTGAACATTGCTAATATAGCAAAAAGTTTTGTAAGCAGTAGAGCAGACATGAGAAATAGAACAATAAGCCCCTGTGATTTGCCCTTATAGGTTGCAACAAGTTTATTTAATGTATATCTTTAGAAGGTTAGTATGAATGAGCCTCTGTGCTTTGTCTCTCATAAACGAGCCATGCTTTGTCTCTCATAAACGAGCCATTGTGTTAGAAAATAAGTCCTTATTTTGTTAACTACTGTTACGTGTGTTTCATATGACTGGATAGAATTATTGTGAATATGTTTTGCTTTATGTGTGATTGGCTGAAACTTAGGCTGAGAGGGTTTTATGCTACCCTGTAATGTGATGTTTCCTTGGCATTCCATTTGAATCAGCAAGCTGTAAACATATCCTGTCTCCATTGTCCTAACAATGTACTGAGACTGATGTTTGAAATAAACAGCTCACGACACTGATTCAGAGTGTCCCGTTCCGTTTATGACTGTATATAGCGTGCCAATGCCACCATAGTCCTTAGAAGTTGATCCCTATATTTCCTAATTTTTTTAAACTTTCATCTTTTTGAGAAAGAAAAAACAACAGAGTTTTAAATGGAACCTAACACACCCAACCTAACCTAACCTAACCTAACCTAACCTAACCTAACCTAACACACACGTAATCTAACCTAACCTAACCTAATCTAACCTAACCTAAGACCTAAACTGAGCAAATATGAAAACTGTCACATTTCCTATCTAGGGCACAGCTCCTCTTAATACTTGGGCGACGGCTGAAGCTCTGCCTCAAGATGACACATCCCCTTTTCCCTCCTCTCAGCTGGCGGGGCATAAGGGTCTCCTCAGGTGCAGGTGTCTCCTCTCCAGTCTACCTGCACTTGCTTGGCTGAAATGATCAGAGCAGCCAGGCTGGAGGCAGGATGGCCTGAGGTCACAAAGGGATGCTGCCCAGAGGATAAAGAACAAAGAAAGGAACTCTTACTTTCCAGGATCCCATCCTCATGGGCTCAAGCAGGATTCCCTGGCTACCAGGAAGACACACCAAGAGCACCAAGGGCAGTGTGTCCCCCTGCGCCTTCCTGTCCTGGGAGCTGTCTGCGCCATGTGGCCCACACTCCTCCTCCTCATCCCTTCATGCAGGTGTCCTCAGCTGACAGGGCTTTTTGCCCCTTTGCTTTTTCTTACCTGCAGGAGTTCCTGGGCAGAGCAGCGCCTGTCCTCATCTGCCTGCAGGCAGCAGTGGAGGAAGTCGTGCAGGAGAGCCGAGTGGTGCCTGGGCTTCTGCAGTTTTGGGGGCCCATTCCTTTCTATCAGTTCAAAAACCTACAGCACAAAGATGCAAGAGGACACTGCACCTCCTCCTTTGCTAGCCACATCAGCTCTCTCCATGATAGTGGAGCTCTGGGAAAAGTTAAAGATAGAATCTAAAATGTTAATCTTTGTGCTTTTCCCAGATCAACTGCACCTGCGTAAGCAGTATGATAAATTACATAATTGTTAGATGTGATGATTGTTTAGTAATTAAATATAATTACTATATAACCAGAAGAAGAATAATTAGAAAATATGTTGGAAATTCAGAGAGGGGCTAAATTTATGTATACAATAGAACAATATAAGTTTAATAATTAACATGAAAGTTATATAAAGATAGAGTATAAAAACATGATCATTTCCAATGTATGGTCAGAATCAAATTTGGGTAATACCCTGATTCCCAGAGCTCTTTAATAAAAAGCACTGCATATAATCGCTCCGTGATTATGTGTTTTTGAACGCTAACATTTTGGCGACTCAGATGGAACCGTTGTGAGTGGTGCTGAGCGAGTTCGCGACTCGATCACGCTCCAGCCGGCACTGAGGGATTCTTGGGGAGCCCATTGGCCGCGACCGCTCCTGCCGCTCACAACGTCCCCGGGAGAAAGGTAAGGTGCTTTTTATACTTTGGTTTGGTTTTGGATGCCTGCCAAATAAGACGCAGCAAAAGCTACACTTGGTTGGGCTAAAGGAATTCCTGTTGGTACAAGCCTAGGCGCCGTTCCATAAGACAATCACAAAAGCATTGCGGGTTTGGCATTTGTGGTGTATTTGAAATGGAGAAATTTAAAGGGATTTTGGGCAGTAACACCCCTATCCCGCAAACTTCTCCTTTGGGGTGCTTATTAGCACATTGGAAACAGGGTAACTTTGGGGAAGAATTACGTAAAACTAAGTTGATTGATTACTGTAATTCATGGTGGCCAGAATATGCCTTGGAGAATGGCGAAAAATGGCTAAAATACAGTACTCTGCAATATAACACTATTTCGCGGTTAATGTCATTTTGTAAACAAGAAGGAAAATGGGATGAAGCCCCGTTTGTTGATCTGGTTTTCTATTTACAGGGAAAGCCAGAATGGCAGGATGAATGTGGATTATTAGTGGTTAAAACATCTGCAAAGTGTGGGGTTTGTGAGGAACGTTGTTTAGAACACTTGGCATTAAAAGAAAGCTTGAGTAGGGAAAATTATACAGATGTTGAATTACAAGTAGGTCCAATAGGAGCTAAGAAAGCTACAAGAGAACCTAACCCTATCCCACCTGTTTCACCTGTTTCACCTGTCCCTATCCCACTACCTGCTCCTCACCCACCTAGTCCAGAGCCTGTCTCGTCTAGTACACCTT